ATTAGTGTCAGATCACTCAGCAACATTCCCAAGCCAAGTTTAACATCAGGGATTCCTCTTCCAGCAGCCAATTCCCTGACCTGCATCCCCACACGCAGGGACTTTGGGATGACTGGAATAACTGGTCTGGGGCCAGGGGGATGGCAAAACCCAAACTATGGCTGGTGCCACTTGCCCAGGTGGCCCCAAGGGACAAATTCATGGTCACGTATTTTTGTCGAAATTAATGCCAGCAGGTGGATTTAATGTCCTGGTAAAATCTCAAGCATTCAGCTTATGTAACACAAGTATGAAATACCAAGTTTACCTTTAAGTAATGGTTTTGAATTTTAAAAGTTGCTCACTTTCAAATGTTAACTGGTTATTTTTCACCATGAAGCAGGTAATTCACGAGCTGAAGCCTCTGCCAATGAGCTATTTACACAAGAATCTGCCCAGCCAGGAGCCCAAATCCCCAGATCCCTTTAAACAGCCTTTTGCTGCAGAGAGGCTTAGGGGAAAGATAGTGTCATTCTTCCAGGTTCTCACTTTACTGGAAACCTTTTCAAGAGGAAATGGGTTAAATATTCAAAGGTGACTTTAAAAAGCACCTTCCAGGAGCAGCTTTTTATTGCTTTTGTCCATGAGATACCTCTGCTAGCTAAAGCAGTTCTAAAATGACTGTAAATGAAAAAACTAATACAACGCAGAGTAGAAAGCATCCAATTTCTCAAATAAACCCCACACTATCAGATAACTCTAATTTTACTCGTTAAAGAAGCTGTGGGAAAGCTGTCAGTGGGTACACACTGAGTCAAACATCCAGCACCTAAACAGGAAGCAGAAAACTTTAGGGGGAAAAAAAAAAAGTAGAAGTTGAACTGAAAAAACTTTTCAGTGTATTTCCATTCCTTACTACACCTGCCAGCTGCCCTCACTCTCATTCACATGATGTTAAATCCCTCTCTTAACACTGAGCACCACTTAAATCACACACCACTGCCCCAATATGCTGGCTCCTTCCCACAGCTGCTTCTGTGTCAAATCAAACTACAGAATTAAAAATATCAAAGTAACTCCTTTCAAGATATAAACCAACTTTTGCTAATTAGCTGAGAGAACAGTCCCGACCTAAGATGCAAATATCATTCAGCTTTGGGCTACAGCAACACCAATGCTGGGCTCAGATTTTTTGGGAAACAGTGATCTATCAATTATACAAAGCCCTCAGTATTTCCATGAGTATTAAAACTATTGTATTTCCCTAGTAAAATGTATTCATTCAAACAATTTTAAGCACCAATACAGCAGTAGAGACTGAAGTGAAGATTTTTAAAAGCATTTTCAAATCCACAAACAGAAATTAGATGTATCCATCTGAGAATTTCAAAATCCAGTTGTTTTACCTGAAGGTAAAGAGCTGCCTCACCAATTTGTGGAGCATTTCAATGTACTGGAACCTTTAGAGAGCATGAGGAAATCCTACTATGAATTCACAATATATCTAACCAGAATTTATCTCAACAGAAAAACTGAAAATCACTTTTAGGTCATCTTCTTAACACTTACATTCCTGCCTGCCAGATGAGACATTTTCAAGGCTTAGTTAATCCCCATTTCCAGCTGAGAAATTAGAAATAAGCTGAGAAAACATTAAGAATTATCCACTTACAAAAACAGCAAGTCAGATAGAGAACAAGAATCAAAACCAGCATTTCCAGCTCTCAGTGGCAGACACTGCCCACTACATCAGTCAAAATACAACCACTGGAAGTGTGTATTTTTTCTTTAAAGGAAACAACTTTAGCAGCTTTGGGTAAAATTGTGCTCTGAGTTCTCACAAACCCTGAGTAGTGAAACAAGCCTGGAACTAAGCGTTGAGCTCCATTTGCACTTCATACCTAGTGGGTCACTAGGACATTTCTCCTCATCTGAAAGCGTCTACTACTCTTACCACCTGCATTTAAATGCAAATAAGAGCTTTCAAAAGTCTTATCAAGCTCAAGACGCAGGAAAGCACAGCACGATAAGAATCCTGAGGCCTCCAGGGAACACTGCAGAGTTTCCTTGCTAAAACGAACAGTGCCCTGCCCAAGGGCTTCTTGTCCTTTGCCCCCAGGTGAGTACTCCGGACTCCTCCTTCCCCAGCTCCTCCTGCCAGCTGGCAGGAGATGCTGCCTCCTCCATGCTGCCTTCCTGCCCACATTGCCCTTGCCAAGAGGCAGAACCAATCCAGCTCAGCAATAACTGGACTTTTATCTTTCCTGGGAGCCAGCCTGGCACCCAGGCTATCTCTGGGAGGGCAAGCAGCAACCTCAGCAGTGGCAACCAATTCCAAGGCACCTGCAAAGGTTCAGTCCCTGGCACTGCCAGGGCTGGCACAAACCTCTCTGAAAGGACACCGTGCCCTCCAAGCCCAGGGCCAGACAGTCACCTTTGATTCAGGGAGGTGTTGCCTGCATGGAAACTGAAAATGGAGCATGGCACATCCCAGCCCCAAGGAGTGCCTTTGCTTTGATCGTGCTCCCAGGAAAAGAAGGGAAAGCTCCACAACCACCTTACCTCTGCCAGGATGAATGGAACCCAGGGTGCCTGGCTGCTCATGTCCCCTCCTTCCCCTCGCTCTGCCATCACCAGGCCCTGCTCCATCTCCCCACGGGTGCCTCAGCTGCCTCCCAGAGCCGTGTCCTGGTGTGGGAGGCAGGACTCGGAGCTCTGCTGCTGCTGTCCCTGGGCCGGGCCATCCCGAGCAGCCTCTGGGACTCTGGGCTTGTTTGCAGAACAAAGAGCTGCTTCACAGACACCTCAGGAACCGTGTGTGTTGTGAGCAAGAGAAAACACTGGCACAAACCTCAGAGCACAGAAACCTCCTCACGCACAAAACAGATAAAAGGAGGAAAAACCCAAACAAAACCAACCCAAGACAGATGTGAGGGCTCTGAAGCAGAAGTATCTTACTAATAACACACAGACCTACTACAGCTTTTCTTGTCACAAGAACAAAACCTGCAGCATCAAGCAACACCCTTAATTATGAAGTTATTTTGAAACCAAAGGTGCTTGAATAATTTCCCCCTTTAAACACAACCAGAACGTTGACCAACAACAACCCAAGTTTAAAAACTTGGGATTTTAAAAGGGTATTAGTTTAAAACGTGCCCAAGATTGGAGCTGCCTTACATGGCTGAAGGATCCACCCACCTAGCCCAGCATCCAGCCCAGAGAGGGAGCACGAGCAGGTGCCTGCAGGAATAAACTCCCACTGTTGGTCAAAGGTCCAAGCTGTATCCCAGCACAAATTTCATCCCAGTAAATCTGCCTCTGGCAAGCAGCTGCCCAGCAGAGCACAAGCCTCAGATGCACTGAATAAGCTGCATGGTGATAAAAAGTGCAAAATATACAGAGCCAATATTCCAGAGTTAATGGCCTGGCATTTTTGTTTTAACAACCACCTCTGTACAAAGACCAGCCAAATTCCATATGCAACTTAGCACAGAAAATCCAAGTTACTCTCCCTCAAGCATTTGTGTTCTGCCCTCCAGAACTGCAACATCCAACCAGCAAACTCTAGAATGAGGTTTTTCCTGCCTCTAAAATACATTACCCAGAGCATTTTGTTTAAAGAGCTTTTACTATCTCAAAGATTCTACTCAAAAGCTCGTAAAACAACGACTTTGCATTTTTGTATTTCTACTTTCCTTCTACTTTATCTCAGTGTGTATTAACCAAGCAGTTCCTGGTAACATATGCTTTAACCAGCCTCCACAATATCCCCGTAAATTTAATTACTGTTGTCTCTAAAATGAATGAACTGAAGCACAAAGTAGCTAATCCCAGTTTTTTTAAGGAGATACCACTCCAGGACTCACATTATGAGGACACTCCAACTGCAAAGCAAATCCTTACCTCTCTGAGCAGGCATTGCTTCCAAAACTACCGAAAAAAAATGGCAAAACTTGAGAATGACAGAAACTATAAAAACTTCACAGTTTAACATGTTTGAATTGTACCTAACACTGCTATTACTGCAGGACCTCCAAAGCAATGTTTATATCACATATGCAGACATCACTGGCTGTAGGGCAGCTCGTGAACCGCTTTATTTTGGCTACAGCAAAGCACAGCCTTGCTCCACGAAGGCAGCTGATGAACTCTCTGCTCCAAAATCAGCCTTTGGGCACTTGCCACATGGACCGGGCTACATCCAGCTTTACTCTCCTCACTCCCCACTGCCACTAACCTACTAAGAGAACATTTGGATCAGATGTTAGCAAGAAATTGTTCTCTGTGAGGGTGCTGAGGCTTTGGCACAGGGTACCCAGAGAAGCTGCAGCTGCTCCATCCCTGGCAGTGCCCAAGGCCAGGCTGGACGGGGCTTGGAGCAGCTGGGACAGTGGAAGTTGTCCCTGCCCATGGCAGGGATGGGGCCGGATGAGCTTTAAGGTCCCTTCCAACACCAACCCGCTGCATTTCTGTGCCTCTAACCCATCCTGCGGGACGAGCACAGAGCTCAGCACGGAAACACGGCAGGAGCAGGGGCAGCTGTAAGCCCGGCGGGCGCGGAGCCCGGAGCAGCAGCAGCTTTTCCCAGGGCCGGCCCGCCGGGGCTCTGACAGCCGGGGCCGAGCGCGGCTTTCCCGCAGCACCGGGGCCCGCCCGGCCCGCTGCCCCCGCCGCCCCCGGGGCTCGCCCGCTGCCCGCGGCGCTCCCGGCGGCGGAGGCCGAGGCGGGGCCCGCAGGAAGCGGGGCCGAGCGGCGGGGCCGGGCCGGGCCGGGCGGCGGGGCCGGGCCGGGGCAGCGGCGGGACAGCGAGGGAAGGAGCGAGCGGCGATCCGCGGCCCGGGCGCGCCCGCCGCGGGCCCGGCCCCGCCGCCGCCGCCGCCGCACAAAGGGCGGGGGGCGCGGCCGGCAGGTGTGAGCGGACTCACCGGGTGCGGCGGCGCCGCCGCCTCGGCGGACGGACGGACGGAGGGCCGGACGGAGCGGGACTGAGCGGGGCGGCGGCGGCGGGACCGGGAGCCGGCGGGGCGGCGGCGGCGGGGCCGGAGGGGAAGCGGAACCGCCGCGCGTGGCCACAGCCCGCGGGGGCGGGGCGGAGCATTGCCGCGGGGGCACCGCCCGCCGTGCGCCGGAAGTGAGTCACCGCAGGGCATGACGGGAGTTGTAGTCCGCTCCTTGCTGTGGGGAATGTCTTTTATACCTGTAAACTATATCTAGTATTTATGGTTCTTTATTTGTAAATATATATATTGGTTCTTTATATCTATATATATTTTTATATATATAAATACAAATAATATATATTATTTTTATATAGTTAAAATAAATATTATAAACATAGAAATACAAATAATATATATTTCTATATTTTTAAATATATATATTTTTTTAATATATATTTCTCTAGATCACAGTCAGAGAAAAATAAGAGAGCTTGAGAGCATTTAAAAATTAATTATATATATATATATAGAGTACAGATGAATAACATTTATATGACATGTTTTACAATAAATGTTATATATATCATATATATAATGTGTGGTATAATAATATATATTGTATCTATAAAATACATATGTTTAATTTTTATATAAAATTAATATTATGCATAATATATTACACATAATAAATGTAACATTTATTATATAATATGTCTAAAATATAAATAGCATTTATTATATCATATGTAATATATATTGTTTTATTATATATAAATATATATATTATATGTATAACATTTCTCTTTTTCTAGGCTGTTTGGATCTCTTCTTTTTCTCTGGCTGTGAACAACAACCACCTGCAGGGGGAAAAGTTCACCACCCTAAAAAATCCAGCATCCATCTAAACTGCACCCAGCAGGAGCCAGCTGGGAAAGCAATGTATGTGTCCTCAAGGCTTCTCCCCCAAAATTCCCATGGTCCATTGAATCTTCCATGATTTCTCCACGCTTCCTGCTGCCCTGGAGGCACAGCCGTCCTTTCACTTCTCTTCCTGTGTTTGCTTTTCCCTCTCTGCCTCAGCCCAGTCGCTGCTAACTCACCTCTGCAGCCCCCTGGAGAACCACAGTGGGTTTGTGGCTTCACCTTCCCTTGGCCTTCCTCCCCATCCCTCCTCACCTCTCCGTGCTGCCTCAGCCTCCTACCCCCAACCCCTCTCAGCTCCAGCTCCATTTGCAGAATCCTGACTCCCCTCACACCCTTGTCTCCTTCCCCAGGCACAGCTTTTTAGGAGGGTGGGTTTTTTTGTTTATTTTTTTTTTAATTAATTTTTGTTATACCCATTTCTTTGTGATTCAGAAAGCTTTAATTCCCAACACGGCCTTTGATGCCCCATCCCCTTTTCTTTCTTGTCAAGAACTCCTCAACACCTCATTCCTGTCTCCAAAACTGTCAGAATTCTTGCACAGGATTTACAGCTCCTCCTCTGATTTCTGAGATCCCCCTGGGGCTGGCATTTGAATCCTCCTGCATGGCACACCTGCTAAATTCTGTGCTGCCTTAGTGACAGCAGCTTCTGCTCTGAGAGAGAGATTCACTGGCAAATTCCTTTGTAATTAACACTGCTATGGTTATCAGACTTATTTACAGTTTGTAAGGAAAAATGTGTCTGCTGTATTTACAATACAGGTGCTGTGGATTTAAAAACAAATATTTGCCACAACAAAAACCACCCCTTGTGAAGCTCTGCCATTCCTCTCATATTTTACATTAATCAGAATCAGTTACTTAGGTTCAGTTGGAAAGGTGATTGACAGCAATCTTGATATATACTTTACTTCCATATTTTTCCACCTGCAATATTTTTTGTTTGCCCAGAGTACATTCCCATTCTCTTTCCCTAGGTTTTGTCAGGGATGTTGATGTAGCTGAGGGATTCGACCTGTAATTTTCAACTGGTGTTAAAAAACAGGCAGTGAAGTCCTGTCCCTCAGCTCTGCCAATCTGGGGTGTTGCCATTCCAAGGGTCAGGCTCCAACAGTTACCTACAGAGCACAGGAACAAACTTAGCCCTGGGAATTAAATATCCCACTTGGAGACAAGTGACACAGTGCTTATATATATATATATATATATATATATATATATATATATATATATATATATAAAAAGAATATATATATTATTTGTATTTATATATTTACTATATATATTTCTCTCTGATTGTTCCCAACCTGCCATGGAAGCAGTCACAAGGAGTTCACTCTGTTGAATTCCAGCAGGAGAAAGATGCCCAAGGAACATGGATGAAAGGCTGCACACCGAGCCCTTGAAAGGAATTTTCGTTCACCCCTCGCACACACACTCACCCAGATTAGCTGCTTTGAGTAACTTACTCGAGGTTTATCGGGGATAAAATGCATTTTCTCCACGCGGTGGGCTCCCAGTGCCACCTACTGACAACTGCAGACAGCACCCGAGCTCTGCTGCTCCAGAGCCTCTCAGCTTTTCCATGAGGTAATTTCCTCTCCATTTCCTTCTATTTATCAGCTGTCCTGGAGACTAAATGTCCATCTTCTAAATATTTGCTTCTAGTCACTATCCTGTCCCTCACTTTCATCTTCCAAGGGTTTCTTTCCACTCATGAAATAGGGTGAAATTTCTTCAAGTTTTATAAACTCTTTCAATTCTGACCAATTGTTCATCCAGGGAAAAGGAGGTTCAGGGGAACCTTCACTCTCTCAACTCCTGACAGGACATGGAGCCAGGGGAGGGTCGGGCTCTTCTCCCAGGGAACAAGGGACAGGACAAGAGGAAACAGCCTCAAGTTGTGCCAGGGGAGGTTCAAGTTGGATATTGGGAAAGGTTCCTCTTGGGAAGGGCTGTCCAGCCGTGGCACAGCTGCCCAGGGCAGTGGTGGAGTCCCCATCCCTGGAGGGATTTCACAGACCTGTGGATGTGGCACTTGGGGACGTGGGTTGGGAGTGGCTTTGGCAGCACTGGGGGATCTTACAGGGCTTTTCCAACCTTAATAACCCTGTGATTCTAATTAGGCCAAGAGCAGCCAATCCCTCAGAGTCATTAGAATGGGAGAGATTATCAACGTGTCCCAGGTTGACACAGAACGTCTCTTCACAAATTCATACATAACCCATCTGCACAACAAGCTTAAAATCCAGAAATTTTAATGATTCAATAATGTTTTTCATACCCTTAATATCCAATCCCTGAGTCAAGAAATACAAACACCGCTGCAAGAGGTACTGAAAGCAGGCTCTGGGCCAGGAGGAGGGGATAGGAGTCCCAAACCCACCAATGATAGTTGCCTCATTGCCCACAGCAGTGCTTTCAGCTTTTTGAGGCTTTTTCCTACTCTCCATCTGCTTTGGATATTGACAACACATCCAAAATGTCTTCTGGGCTGTGGAAGGCATTTGTAAACACTATGAGCCAAAGGAACTACAATGCTTATGGGACCCTTGCACCCCCCAAGATACAAACAGCAGCAGGGCAGGATCCGTTCAGGAGCCCAGTGCAGTCTGCAGTGGGTTGTGCTGGGGGAGGTCAGACATTCCACATTTCCTCGGGTCACTGCGAGAAGTGTCCGTACTTGCAGGCAGCAGCCAGGATGAGGCCAGAGCAGAGCCCTGTGGTGAGCAGGGTCAGGGCACACACCAGGGAATTGTGCTCCCTGAGCCCCACAGGAACCCTCAGCATCGATTCCTCATATGCCTACAAAGAAAAATAAATATATAACACACATTTGAGCTGTTTCTTTTTGACTGCAACCGAGAGGATGAGGAACCTGATCCTGATTTAATTAGCCCTTGGCTAAAGCTTCTTCTGAGATTCTATATCAGAACCAGGATGGGACATCTTTTAATTCACAGCCACTGCTGCACTGCACAGCTCAGGAAATGGACCTGCTGCCATCTGTATCCCTGGATCTCTGCTCCTACTCCAGCCACTGAGGGAATGTCTGGAATGCTGCAGGGAGAGCAGCTCCCAAGATGAGCTCAGATCACGAAGGAGACAGATTTCTCCAGAGTGAACGACCATTTGGTTTTTTCATTGATACAGGAAGCTGCAAAATGTTTATGGACAACAGCTACAGAGGTACCAGCGGTCTGCAGGTATCTTAAATATAGGAAGGCACATGTGTTACAACAACAACAGACTATTTTATTATATAAATTAGTCTAATTTCTGAGTCTCTACACTACCATGGCACTTTGGAACATCAACCACAGTTGCTGGCCACACTAAAGATCCATCTTTCCTTGGTTTTGAACACAATAAGAAGCTTCACCTTTTCCTAAACACTTACTCAACCAAGTAACAACCAAGCAAACAGGAGTGGCTTTCTTTTGGATGCTACTACTTAAATCTTTGCAGTTTTACCATTACTTGAGCTAGATTATTATCTTCCACCTTGCTACTCCTCTGAAGCACCACTGTTGTAAAGACTTTTCTTATTTTGGCCAGGGCCAATTATATCCTAGGATTCCAAGTAAACTAGTAAAGGAAAAAAAAAAAGATCAGGAGAGCAGCTATGTTAAAGGGCCAGAAAAGCACAATCCCTGTAAACACAACAGAAGGGCAGAATGAGCCCCACTAAAAGCCAGTCAGAAAGGAAAAAAGGAGCCTGACAAAGAAGGAACCACCCAGCTAGTCTCTTAATGAATAATTTCTGTTAGGAAATAATCCTAAAAATTAATCTTGAAAGGTGTTAATCACAGAAAATAAGACAGCAGTTGTTAAAAATAACCAGAGGGAGAACTCACGGGTCTGTGTTTTGTGGTGTGCCACTGACAGGGACTGCTGGTGTCAGATGAGCAGGGAGTGTCCACTTCAGCAGGTTCCCAGCACTCTGCAGACAGGTGCCCTAGGGAAGGCATTCCTGCATCAACAGGAGCCAGGCAGGATAAGCAATCAGCCTGCATGCTTCCAAATAAGGGATCTTTTCCTCTACAACAACTCAACGGAATCTATTCCCTGGGAGCCAAGTGGTGAAACACCTCTGCATGGCCAAAGTGACGCTGAGCAGTCTTTACTGTGGACTTTACAACTCTTCCCTTCCTGATACAGCAGGTACCCAAGAAAGAATCTCACCTGTGTGGTATCTTGGCCTTTCTTGTCCTTATCAGGGCAAAGAATTCCTGGTTAGCCTGCAGACCCCTCAACGTTAGCCATGTAGTTAGAATTTTCCCCCAAAATAACTAAGTCCCCAAAATAAGTAAGGCCATTTGTCTTCTTGGCCTCCTGCCAACAAAAGATCTCCCTTCCAATACTTCAAAACCTTCCCCATTAATCATTAATAATAAATGTTTTCCTGCTCATAACTAGTAAATGTGCCAGGAAGATTTAAAACCCCTTTTTTAAGTGACCAGGTAGTCCTGCCTGTCCCTATGCTTATCCCAGAAAATCATAGCTCAAGTAAAGAAAAAGGATTTGAAAATCATTAGTGTGCTTGACTTGGCAGGAATGATTTTATGAAGGGACACAAAATTTGTAACAAAATGATAGGGTTTCATTGTTCACATAACTTGAAATATTAATTGTAGTGGATATCAGGTGCTTGTTTCACCAGAGTTTGAAACTCCAACCATTCCAAGCTTCAGGCACAGTTTCCTACATTTCCCCTTTATATAAAGAGAATGCAGCAACAGTGTTAGAAGCCATCTGAATACTTTGATTACTCTAAATAGGTGACAGTGGCTACTGGACACACCCTGCACAGCTCCAGCTGCCAAGGGAAAAACGGTCAGAGCAGGGGCCCTGCTGGGATGGTGACCAACACGGATCATGGCAACTGCCACATCTTCCAGCTGGAAGAGCCCCAGCAGCACAGGGGTGCAATGGCAGCAGCACAGCACAGAGCAGACCTGACACAGAGCAGTCTCTGACACCCCCTGCCTTTGGCCAGCCCTCAGCGAGGAAGACAACGAGGTCTTTATCAGGGCCATGCCTCCTGCTTACATTCCTGCAACTACCAAGAGCTCCATCTCCAACACAACCAGACTGGGGATGGCCCAAGAGCAGCAATGAGAATCTCACTGTGGCAGCAGCAGAGCAGCACCTCTGGGCCCTGCAGAGCCACCACGGCGTGGCGTGTCCCGCGGGCGGGCCGGTGGTACCGCGCGTGCACGGGCACGGCGGCGCCGAAGCAGCGGGAGCGGCGCGTGTCCACCTCCAGGAACAGCAGCAGCACAACAGCCTCGGCCACGTACTCGGGAGCCTCCACGTCAATGACATCAGGAAATAACACTGCCTGCAAGCAGGGAGAGATACAGCAGGGGTTTGATGGAAATCAGAAACTATTACCCTCCCCCATGCTAGCACTGAGATGCATTTTGTGGTCAGGATGATCAAGCTGGGAATTCCAGCCTTAAGCTGTTCCAAAATACCTTTTCAAGACTGTCCTATGTGTGGAAAGTTCTTAGCGTCACTGTGCCTACAGCCAAACCTGTGAGGTGTCAGCAAGGCCAGACCTGCACCTCAGGCATGCCAAGGGCAGGAGCTGCCCACAGCCTTTGCACCAGTGTTTTACACCAATCTAAGCAGGTTAAAGCCACAGCCTTTGTACACCTCTCTAGCGTGAAGCAAAGACTGGACAGCAGAACAGAAAGCTGGGATGAAAACACAGCTGGGAAGCTGCTCAGTCCAAACACACAGCACATGACTTGGAGCTCACCAGCACCTCCTTGGGGGTTTCCCTTCCACCTTCTCAACCCGAGGCCCTCTTACCACAGCTGATCACCTGAGGCTAAGAGAGGAGCAGCAGCTCC